TTGATCAGAGTATCAAACACGGAATTTTGTCTTTTATTCCTTAATTAATACTTCCAATAAATTAATTAATGTTAATACTTCCAATAAATTAATTAATGTTAATACTTCCAATAAATTAGTTAATGTTAATACTTCCAATAAATTAATTAATGTTATCAAAATAAGAAAACAAATTTATCAGTGTTTACTGAAGTGATTTATTGAATGTACTAACCACTCTCTCTGGACCATGTATACCATATTATCAATTTGCATTCCATCGGAGACAAAGTAGATACCCCTGCAAAGTTTGAAGTTTACAAAGATTAATATATAAACAGATATTATCTTGCAGGCTAGTAACGAGGTATATATTTTTTGCTGTTTTTGCCGGACTAAAAGACTAAAAACGTGATCCCGATCCCAAAACTCCGTACATTTTGATCCCTGATCCCCTCACAGAATTGTTGAAAAAAATCATTGATCCTGATCCCAGTTGAAAAACCTTTGATCCCAGGTTTAATTTATTTGATCTGGATCCTGAGCCTAAATCCTGATGCCAAAATAGCCCAAAAACTGACGCTGATCCCTGATCCCAATACCAGTAGTTACTAGCCTGTATCTTAGAATACAACTGTGATGACTGTTTGAAGATCTAGAATACTAGTGTGATTGAATAGAAAAAGAGTTCATACCATAACCCTGTATCTGTGTAACARGTGTTGAAGGACATGAAGTTGTGTGCAAGATTGTTCTGTGCGACTTCCTGTAAAAAATGCAGAAGTTATAAAGTAATCTGGTAATTGTACTAAAATTCACACTGATGAAGCAAAACACTGTAGCATCACCTGMGCTAATTTACTGCCAACATTTCTCCCTGCACTGAATGATCTGTCCCAGCTTCCAACCAACTGAAAAGAAAAAGAGAATTGCTACATGTATATATGCAACTGGAGGATGTAGTGGTGAAGTGATAGGCTTCTTCGATCCCTGGCTGCCATGTCTGTATTTCCAGTTCAAGGTGATTGAACTGTGTCCTTGAGCAAGGAGATTTACTTTTACAGTAACTCACTTAAAACAGATGTACAATTTGGTATTACTACTACTACCAGGGTCCATGCAGAGTATCAAAAACGACATTTTAAGGACTTTTCAAGGACTTTTCAAGGATCAAAATTGTATATTCAAGGAACATCATAATCATGCTAATTGTACATTTTCACCTCACAACTTCAACCGAATGGAATAATTCAGAGATCACTAGTGCTTAGTGATAGAGATCTATCTTTTTCAAGGAGTTTTCAAGGACTTTTTTAAAATTTTAAAATTTTCAAGGAGTTTCAAGTGCCCTTGAAAATGAGTTTTCAATTCAAGCACTTTTCAAGGATTTAAGGACCTGCACAGACTCTGTACTACTACAACTATGATGACTACTGCTACTGCTACTACTTTTTAACAAACATACCATGTTAGCTACCATGAGAGCAAAGTARTCTGGGTGGGTCCATCCACATCCTTCTACTGCTACAGCAACATGCGCAAGTGGCATATCATCATCTCGAACACGAATCTGTTGAGGAAAAAACAAACTCTGTAAGACTAAATTCTGCCGAATTGTAAGTTCAAAGTGTCTAGAGATACACTTGCATGTGTTTTATTGAAAATTACGTACCTCGCTGCCACTAAATCTGCATGTTTCTACTTTGTCTTGCTCCTCATAGGTTGAACGCAGGCCACTGAAGTGTGTTTCAGCTAACTTGACAAGTTCATCATGATTCACACCTGCAGAAACACAAAGTAATGAGCCTTTGCAAACCTAATTTATCATCATTATCATATGGCCAGCATTTAGCCTTGTTCAGGAGAACCAGTGGAAAATTCTGAAGTTACCAAACCTGGATATAGATTCTGAATAACCCATATACAGATCTGCTGTCCCTCCCACCCTACAATCAACTTCTTCATATTGACCRAGTTAGTTCAAGCMGGAAGGCAAAATATTTGACATGGTCCCCAAGCCAAAGAATGTCATGTCTAAGAGACTCCCACCCATTAAAAATACGAAGTCTCAGCATCTATTATAAATTATTACTAAATTATTACTCTTACATCAACCATCATTATATCACCATCATCCATCATTATCATGATACAATCATCATCATACCTCCAGCAGCAGCCAGGACAATCCTTGGTGCACTATAATGCTTACTGATGTACTCTACCAGATCATTACGTGATATGCTCCTGCAAAATAGAAAATTGATTTTAAATATTATTTGTCAKAAGTGTATGACAGAATCTTTACTTCTTTACTGGTATCATTAAGTGGTCTCAGTTTATTGAGTTGGCAAGTTCATATCTTACTTGACATTCTGTGATGGACCAAGAATAGTTCTACCCAAGGGTGTGCCTTGGAAGGCAGTTGCATGAAGATGGTCAAAAACCACCTCTTCTAGCTGGGTATCAACTTCCTAAAACAATTTATAAGTCATACTGTTACTTTTAACTATTACAAGTAGTTCAAATACCCAAAACAAAAATAGATGATACTTTATATAACTGAATTACAAGCACACAGAAATCTTTTTACAACCATGTATTAWATCCTACCTGCATTTCACGAAGAATTACACCTCTTTCTCTCTCAATTTCAGCCTCACCAAAGACAGAGTTTTGAGTAATATCAGCCAAAATATCAACAGCTATTGTAAAAAAAAGCAATTATTCACATCATATATAATGCATATGTTTACATCTGCATCTTAATGTCCAATGAATAATATACCCTAATTAATGAAAGTATTCCATTACCTTGAGGGATATCTTTGCTGAATGTCTTTGCATAATAAACAGTCTGYTCTCTTGATGTATAAGCATTCAGGTGCGCACCCATGTTTTCCACCTCTAGTTCAAGATCCACTTGGGTCCTCTTCTTCGTACCCTGGAATAATATTTCAGAGAATATCAATATAATTTGGTACTTACTAAATTATTTTTTTAATGATATCAATAATCCCATGAAGAAATTACTTGTCATTCACTCATTTCATGTTAAACAAATACATTAATATAATACATTTATCAGTAAGGCCGCTGACTGCATTAACTTCATAATTTGCCAATGATACTTATATATTACTTCGTAATTGTACCTTAAATGCCATGTGTTCAAGGAAATGTGCAACACCATTGTTTTTCTCATTCTCAAATCTACTTCCAGCATCAATCCATAAACCAACCTTTAAAAAGATAGACAGGGTTTTTAAGGGCAAATATCTTTCCAAAAAATCAATTTTAATCATGTATTCACCGTAGCTGTAGAAATGCCAGAGTCTTCTGTAGCAACTTTCAAGCCATTTGGTAAAGTAGTTACTTTGGTTTCAGGTACATTGTATAAAGACTGAAAGAGATGATATTGACACGATTTTAAAATGGCAGCACTCAACGCAGATCTCGAACTTCAGCTGTTATACAAGCATTCAGTCTAATATCTATTGAAAAAGATATACTAAAAACGAAAAAATACTTCTCTTCGCATATTTTGAGATTTACCTGCTCATAGGAAAGAGCATGCGAGCTCTGGTTTCTCTTGCAAGCTAAAATACCGGCTTTTCCCTAGGACAAAATGAAGAGTCAACCATGATGTAACATTCAAAGAGAGAGTCAAAAATAACGTTAATTCTTACAAATATTTAGTCTAAAAGACAATAATTTTAAAGACTGGTTATTTTACTACATGCTATGACAAACCTGGTGTGATTTAGAAAGCAATCGAGTTAAAAACGACGCTCTTTTAGCACCAAACCGAGAAATCATTCCCGACGCCATGTTGGAAATGGAGGAAGGGACTGCACGAGGAAGAATGGTAACGACAAGTATGCTCATGCGCCAAAAAAATAGGCTGACCAGTTTAGATTGCCGTCGAAAGTTTCTTGAAAAATCTTGCAGACTCATTCTTTCTCTTCAAAACTATATTTTGTTATTCCATAGTTTTCTCGCGAGACAGTTACATAGGTATGTAAAAAGCTAATTCAAATAGTGCAGTATCTTTTAATTTCTTTAAAATTGTATTTTCTTTCTTAAAACGAACTTTGTACATGTTTAATTTGTGACCGGCTTGATCGTCTTTGACAGGCCTGATCCTCGTGGTATCCTTTACTTTTCATCAAGACAGTTTAACGTACACTTTGAAATGTTTTTGACCAGATCAGAGTACGATAGGTAAGACTGTTCAATAGTTTGGTTACTTGTATTATTATAAATTATAGTTTTACTGATCATGAAGATTGTATTCACCCTTGACTATGCATGCGAACTTGCTATCCCACTCTCTAACATAACTTAAGGATTTTTTTTCTCTGGATCATTTCTGATTCTCAATTCTGTCAACAGAGGTGTAAATACCTTCTCTCCTGAAGGACGTCTTTTTCAAGTGGAGTATGCCATWGAAGCCATAAAGGTATGTAACATTTAATTAAATGAAAAAATAGAAAAAATGAAAGGGATGAAAATGAATGAAAGTATTTTCATTTCTTTAGCTTGGCTCTACAGCTATTGGAATCAGAACATCAGAAGGTGTTGTGCTTGCTGTTGAGAAGAGAATCACATCTCCATTAATGGAGCCATCAAGCGTTGAGAAAATAGTTGAAGTTGATCGCCATATTGGTAAGGAAAGGATATTATAATGCGGCATCCAAGAAATGTTGTCATTTAAATAAATAACAATCATGGAATTATTATTATATTATTAAGGGGGGAAATTCACAAATCTAGAAGTTTTCAATGAGATTTTCTTGCTAGGGAAGCATTTGATTTTATCATGTGAAATTATTTGATTTTAAAGAATAATCTTGTTTTTTTTAGGATGTGCAATGAGTGGTCTTATTGCTGATTCACGGACAATGATTGACAAAGCAAGAGTAGAGGCACAAGTAAGTTAAGCCACGTATTGGGTTTCCTGTGGCAAACCACAAACAACACAGGAATTCTAACAGTTGAACTTCGCTAGTAGTTCAGTCTTGTGATTACACAATAATATGTGATTGCTTTATGTAGAACCACTGGTTTACGTACAATGAGAGCATATCTCTAGAGAGTATAACACAAGCTGTTTCAAACCTAGCATTAGAGTTTGGTGATGATGATGCCAGAGAAGGAGCAATGGTTTGTTGAACTTATTTCATAATCCATTCTTTCATCCATTTATTCATTTGATAAATTATGTTTTCATTATTAATTCATGCATTTATTTTTTTTTCATCCATTCGTTTAAAGTGAATCATTATTTAATTATTTGATAAAATGATTCATAAATAAATTAAGTAACCATGATGCATAATTTGTTTTTTCATACCTAGATTTCTCACTTTGTTTATTTTTTTTTTATATAACAGAGCCGACCCTTTGGCGTTGCTCTTTTGTTTGGTGGAATTGATGACAAAGGACCATCTCTGTAAGCATGAATTCCGCACTAAGCTAATGTTGATCACTTTGTCCTTATATTTTGTAGGTTTTAATAAATGGTTATATTTTTCAGATTTCACTTGGATCCCTCTGGAACATTTATAGAATATGATGCAAAAGCAATAGGTTAGAGGCAATCATAAAAATCAGTTTTCTTTCTTTTCTTTGGAGGTTTATTTTGTTTTGTTTTTTGTGCCTTTAGGATCTGGTTCTGAAGGAGCACAGCATGCTCTTGAAGAAGCTTAYCACAAGGTAATCCTTATTTCCACTAGGTTGTCGACAGGTCTCTTGAACCATACAATCCGTAAATCATTATTTCATTACATTTTTATGCATATGTAAGCTCAAGTTACTTCAGAACGTCACACATTTCCTTTTGGCTCATTTGACTTATTTTCTTGAATTGCCAGTCAATGACACTATCAGAGGCTTCTAAGTCAGCTTTGACTATACTCAAACAAGTTATGGAGGAAAAATTGAATGCCACTAATGTGGAGGTAACATTGCTTTAAAAAGCCCTTTTGCAACTACTTATTGATTCTTCGTATACTTCTTTTAAAATAATTAACTGCCGTTTCTCAACAAAATCTTTAAAATCTCTTTCAGCTTGCCACTGTGACAGCAGAYAATCATTTCCGAATGCACACAAAGGAGGAATTAGAAGCGTTAGTGCAGGAAATCAAGTAARCAGGCAGGCAAATTGAACTTTACTTTAACTTTATGTCAAAACAATGAAACTCTTCATGTGTTCTGCTACTGACAGTAGTTTATTACAGTGTAGTGTTAGGTTACAATAAGTACTGTTAGTAGTTGAGCTAGTATATGTTTGAAAACATGTCTTTTGTTAGGAAATATTAATCCTACAAGATATAAAAAAATAACCAAATAAATGTTTGACTTTGTTTTGTCATTCCATAAAATGCATTTTGCAGTGTTTGTCACACTTTCAATACACTTAAACCTCTGACATTAAAATGTTTCTAAAACTTCAGTGTAATATCTTCATTAAACTCAGTGACAATAAAAAACTCAGAGTTAAAATATGCTAATAAATAGGACTTTTGTCTGATTCTATTCCAAAATTTCCTTGGTTTCTCCATGCTTAAGAACAAAAAACTCTGACTGATCAATGTTTTGCAATTCAAGAGTTTCATTTAATTCTTTCTTTGGTGCCATATAATGCTGAAAAGAATAAAAGGAAATAATGTCAACATTTTATCAATATYAATTCCTTTTTGGTCTACAATTCATTAATATATTCAACTATCCAACACTTMAAAGCATTCAACAGAGCTTTTAAASTCYCCTCTTTCTTTCTGTCATCCATTTTTGATTACTAATCCATTCATTGACACATCTRTTTTTSGATCAAATCATTTCCAATTCTAAACTAACTATCTTACCTCACATGCAAGTGCAAATGTTCCCCAATGAATAGCAACTGAAYGCTTTGCTTTGAGATCTTTGTGCATTTCTACTGCATCTTGGGGATCTGTATGCTGAAATTTCATGAACCATCTGAADGAACAACAATGTATTTTAGGGTTTTGAATAAAGCTGGCKTTCTTRAKTGAAGGATKCTTGAGAGACACAGCTCAGTTTTTTTKGTAGAAATGTGTGATGATTCTTTGAAATTGTAATTCATTACTGTCATTTCTATAATAATACCAGGAAAATATTCTTTTCATTACTGTCATTATACCTTGGTTCATAAGCTCCTATCGGCAGTGCTGCTAAGTCAAAAGGACCAAACYTTTCACCAATAACCTTAAACACATCACAATAACCAGAATCTCCTCCAAAAAAGAACCTGTGTTTAGGTCCAACAATAGCCCAGCTTCCCCACAATGCAAGGTTTTCATCAGTAATTCCTCTACGGCACCAATGCTGTGATGGRGTTAAATAGAAGGACACTGAGCCATGTTGCCTTCCTTGCCACCAATCCAACTCCTGTACGTTTTCACATCCAGTATCTCTCATCCACTTCCCAGTACCCATGGGAACATACCAACATATTTTGTGACCAAAACGTGCATTCAAGTCTTTAACTGAAGTATAATCAAGATGGTCGTAGTGGTTATGACTTATAATCACTGCATCAATATCTGGTAGGTCTTCTACAGTGCATGTCAAGGGACGATAGCGCTTATTACTTGTAAGCCGTGATGGACCACAATAATCATTCAAAACAGGATCAGTAAGGATGTTTAATCCGTCCATTTGTACTAATACAGTAGCATGACCAATCCATGTTACTTGAATGTGATCTGGAGGTGGGTTTTGTAAGGCATGAGTATCTGCTTCGACTACTGGAAGATTCTCTTCAAGTTCCTTCAAAACAAATTAAAACATTTATGATGACTGCCAGAAGACTTTTTTTCAAAAAGATGCACTGCTGTAATCTATTGATACATGTACCCTAGTGARAGGAGATGCAAGATCTTGGTATCTCTGGATTAAAGAGTCTCAATATTTTCATCGTGATCGTGATCGTGATCGTGGTCATTTGATTTCATAATGGGAGAAGGAAAGTAGCTGTGTCTACAGTGTATCTTCATCACAATCATTATAACCAACATCACAATATTATGAAAAGCATCATAAAAGACTTATCATAGTCGATTCTTAAATTTATTATCACCATGATTATCATCATCATCTTGCTCATCATCATCATCATCAAGACAAATACTGGAATTAAATCATTCTTACAATCAGTGTACCACTAACCTCTTCATTGAATCTCCAAAACTGTTTCCAAGTCCCACCAACACCAGAGTTGTCCCTTTCACTAACCAACCACTTAAAAACAGAGTAGTTTGATGGTCGGTTGCCTCCCCATGGAATAACATACCGTCCATTCTCTTTACGACTACGATATTCATGTGCAATACCATCTAATAAAGCCCCTTCTGCCATAGCTATATACCTAGGAACATACATAGCCATAAATGTAACATTTACAATGTTTATCGTACAAAATGGTGTCACAGATTTTGAAACTTTCGCTACTATTCAACCAGAACAAGTAGAGCTAGATTCCTTTTAAATGCTTAGTGACGCATTTTATAAACTCTAATATAGATTTCACTTTCGTTTTCAAATARGACGGCCAATCTATTAGTTTTTCAATTTTTAAACAACAACCGAATGAGGTACGCATTGTACTTCCTTCTCTAAGTATTCCTTTGCGGATTTGTATGTCTTTTTTTAAAGAAAGATCGTTAAAAATCTAAATAAACCTTTTCAATCGGAGTCCTGCTTGCAGAAGAGCACAACCAACGCCAGCATAAAACCAAATTTTGACCTAATAGACTACCGRGCTAACTAGTTTGCATGCATATCTGTATTTACCACAGGAATCCCAATCTAATTTATGCAGATGAAAGGGATTTCCCCTTTATTATAATCCAAAATATTTTTAAGATGACGAAATACCCCTTTATTGCTTCATATATAATACACAATAAATTTTTATTGCAAATTACATATCAACGCTTTTCAATGATAAAATAATGAAATGGATGGAGAATATTAATCAAGACACAGGAGCTTTTTTTMCTTTTTACTGGAAAAGTTTACATACAGTTGCCATGACACAACCTTTAAGCAATCATATTACTGGTTTTGCCATTTTCTGTTAAAATGTACCTCAAATGATTAATAGATGTGCCAAATAATATACAAATGTAAGAAATAAATATATGAAAATCAGTGCACAATTTTTGCATGCTTCTCGCATAAAACCTGCAGTGCTGTAATAAATAAATTAGATTTTGATAAATAAATTATGTTAAGAATATTGTTATCATATCTTAAAKTTCAATAAAAAAGATTGCCATATTATTATTATTMCATTGCCGGATTGCCTGTGTAYGACACAGGCATCCCAACAGTCAGACCAGAGAGTCTTCACTTTCTATGATTCTGGTTTCGCCATGGTTCAATGTTATGAAGCTGTTTTCTTCAAGTCCTTGTTCTCGTAATGCTRTTTTGAGATCTTGTGGAGGAGCCATGTAATGCTACAACGAAATAGGAATATTTTAATTTTTTTAAAACCTAATTAACCTTGTAACAATAATTACCACTATGTCCACCTAAGTTTATATTGTTTTTTCCGATAGACGTGCTTTTAATGATTAAAATACCTCCTTTATCAATAGGATGAGGGAAATCTAGAACTATTTTCTCCAAATGGACGTTATGCACTAATCAATTGGAACCCCCGACCCCCGGGGAATACCGGGGAATTTGACGTTTGAGTGGTGTTAAAATGAGACATTTCCCCCGATAGTCGGCGGCACATTCATTGTTAAAATCCCCGCTACTGTTTGCCCGCTATTTTGGTCTAGTAGTAAATAACAAAACTAAGACCTTGAAATCAAATTTTCTGTGATACACAGGGTTAATTTTTGCACAATTCTGTGTACTCATTTGCGTACTACATGAGGCTAAATGGACGGAGAGAAACGTGTAATAAGTTTCTTCGAAAACAATTCGAACAAATCCCGACCCCGGGGCAATCTTGCTGTTAAAGCACGTTAAAAACGCGTCACGTCCGCGTTCAGTGCCCAGCTAGCYCCGGGGGTCGGGGGATGGGGGTTYCAATTGACTAGYGCATTAATAACAACTAATTTTCCTCCAWTWCTGTGCATGCCGGAAACATTAAGAGGTAATTTCCCCCGTGCTGTTCATGAGGTTGCCCCTCTGCTTCGCAATGCAACCTCGGAGCTTCCATCGATCTCGGAGACATTTGTCTAAAAGTAATACAATGGCTATTAGGCAGCGGTGATCTTTGCAGTTAAACTAGTGAAGTGACGAAGGAGAAGAGAGGTCTTACGCCGAGCGTTCTGTGCTTGAGACAAAGACACAAATTAAGTGTAAAAAAAAAATAAAATGGTGAAGGAGGCGCCCCGGGGGGGTGGGGSSGTACTCCCCCCAAACTTKGGTGGGGGTGTGCCGCTGGTACGTCAAAACCCTGACCCTGTTCCAGAGTAAAATCGCTGAAAACGATATCCTGTTCCAGAGAAAATCTTGTACTAGCTTGCGTAAGACCGAATTTTTACACCGTGAATTTTTACCCAGCATCAATAATTCCGGAATTAAACCCTAACCCTGTTCCAGAGAAAATTTGTTGAAATCGATACCCTGTTCCAGAGTTAAATCGCTAAAAACGATACCCTGGTTGGCGGCACGTCCCCATATAGCGAATATAGGGGAGTACCACCCCTGGGGGAGGCGCAAATAGTAAATGGGCCTTCCTTCGCCGACCTAACTTCACAAGTGATTGTAATCAAGCTCACAGCACGAATGTGGGAATCTCGAGAATTGAAAAACAAACAGCATCGCTAGAAACGCCCCAGGGTAATCAACCAACCAAAGCGTGAAATATCAATGTAATTTTTTAAGAGATGCATATTTTGCATACTCCTTAACACTGATCGATCTGTTCGGTACTATTACGAACTTATGTCTGTCAAAAATGATTAACAATTGCATATACTAATCTCCACTATTTGTCAATTAAATTCCTTAGAGTGCTAAAACGGTGCCAAAGAAACTCAGCTGGACTTCTTGAAGCAAATGCCATATATTTCACAAATCTTTAGTGCTAAACGTCCTATAAACTGTAACTAAAAAGTCCACATTAATGTCATGCACAAAGAATTGATTGTGGACGTTCATATTTGACTATAGTTGCGGTATTAGTCGTCTTCTGGTTTCTTTTTAATGACTTTCAAGGAACTACCTTCCACGCCAAGGGCCTTTAGTAAGTCTCCGATTCTTGCATCGTCGTTAAAGATATCACTTAGCAACAAATGTTCGTTTAGGTCACCTTTCAAKGCGCAGAATATGAGAAAGGCATTTTTAAACAGTGATCTCTCCCAATAGATCTGCGGCTGACAACTGGGTATTTCTGTTGCCCAACTCGAGTYCATATTCACCTTCTCCTTACATTCGTCTGGATAGTCCAGGAAATGGCCAGGATACATATCTTCCCCGTTATGACTCGAGATGGGAACAAGTAAGATCGAAGGTAAGTAATCAAGACTCATTTGGAGCTGAAGAAGCTTTGCGCATACCAAACATTGATGGAGGTRCATTCCACAAGCCTTTGGTGATTTCCAGAAGTTCAATAGATCGCGGTTAACCTTCCAGYCAATAATGACATACTCGCCTTGCTCCCTTTYGTTGTTATAGAACCAGCCGATGGCATCAACGTCTCCTTGCCATAAATAAACTTCATGCTGCAATTGAYTTTCACTGCACATGAAGCCGTACAAAGGGAAATCGCCGACTAACACTTCGATTCCAAGTTTCTYATTCAGAGAYGATAGYAATGAGTATTTTATTTCTGGTCCAGTTCCATTCCATTTCTTCTCTACCTTGTCTTTCAGCAGTTTGTGCCATCTATTGGTCAGTACGTTGTCAAAGGGAGGACCACAAGGACCAACATCTTTAAATCTGATAACTTCTCTCTCCGTCATGTGCGCTGTAAAACTCTCTTTGACTTTTTTGTTCATCTATGATAATACAATAAAGTTCAGTMAAGTCTATTTATTGCATTAGGTGATTTCTTAGATTTCACTTATAGCCTCACCCTGTCATAAGACTTAATCATCTTCCAGTCGATATCGTCAAACGGATTCAGGATTTTCATACCAGATGGCTTTGGTTTCTCATCTTTAATTCTCCGCATCGCACACAGAAGCTGCGTGCGAGCGTTTGACGCGTCTTCTCCCAAAACATTTGTCGACATTCCAAGTTACTAAAGTTTTGACACCTCTAACCAATGAATGCACAACATTCATGGAACAAGGTCTTTATGAAGTCTTCTCATGAGACGAGAGACTAGGACGAGACATGCTGAATGCATGCGTTTAACTTCTGGTTACGAATGCCCCAAAAGTGACCTTTTTTCGGAACATGAAACATATTCCTTACTAAATATAAAAACTCTGAGGAATATTYATGGGCATGTTGTGAAGTTACAGTAGCCACTAAGTTTAAGGGGAGAGGGCAAATTCTGGACAATATTGGTTGCCATAATCGAGAAAAGTCGCTCTTTCAAATGGCTACCAAAAACACAAGGTCAGGCACGAAATTCTTAGGTCATTCGTTGGGCTCTGCCATTAGCCGTTTTCCGTAAACGTGATGCTTAAACTCTCTAATGATAACACATGCAAGCGGCCGGTTGCTCAAAGCCCGATTAGTGTTAATCCAGGGTTAACTCCATAGGTTTTCTAGAGTTAACTCAGGAATAGCGCTATTCTGGCTTTGAACAACCCGGCTCAGGGAATAGTAAAATAAAAGCTTTTTTACTGACAATATGGAAGAATAAAAAATTGAATACCTCATAACCCAGAGGAAATGTGCCCCAATGAATCCCAACAGACATTGCAGACCCAATGTCCTCATGTATCTTCACAGCCTCAGTAGGGTCGACATGCTGAAACTTTAAGAACCATCTAGACCAAAAAGATATATATATGTATATTGAAAGATACAGGATGTTTTGAGCTGGAGTTGTTGCAAAAATGCATTTTTCGTCCATTGAGCAGTTGGAATTGTTGGTGTGGTGGAAAAGGTAGTGTTGTGGAAAATAGGGGTGATGGTGGGGTGAGGGAGAAATGCCACACAAAGAGACAATAGAAATTCTGTGGGTGTGGCCCTGGCCCCTTTCTATCCTCTCCTTTCCCCCTGAATGAGCTCTTTGAATAACAAGGGAGAAGATCATAGAAGAAACTGTTACATCCACTACATGACATGAGAAGATCCAGTAACAAGATCTGAATCAAACAGAAAACAGGAAGCTACATTCTTCTGCGAAATTGATGCAACATGCTACCCCCTAATAATTAAGTGAAACATTGTYRAGTTAGCTTGACGTATCATCTTGGGAAGTATCTCTTCTTATTGCTTCAAAGTCATACCTGGGTTTATATGCCCCAATAGGAATTGCAGCAAGATCAAAAGGGCCATACATTCTTCCAATCTGCTTAAACACTTCATCMTGATATCCAGTATCACCTCCAAAGAAGAATTTCTGCTTTGAACCAATCAAACACCAGCTTCCCCAAAGAGACCTGTTTTCATCRMATAAGCCTCGCCTAGACCAGTGTTGCGATGGAGTAAAAATAAACTTTAACGGAGTCTCGCATTCTTTAATAATTTCATGTTCTTTCATTTCCCACCAGTTCATTTCAATGACGTTATTACATCTGGCATCAATCATCCAGGCTTTGAGCCCCATTGGCACGTACCATGTTAAGGASGCTCCAAACCTTTCATTCAGTTTTATGACAGTTGTGTAATCAAGATGGTCATAATGATTGTGACTTATAACAACAGCGTCAATAACTGGTAACTCATTAACAGAACATGGCGGAGGACGATAACGKTTTTTTCCCAGAATCTTTGTTGGGCCACAGAATGTGTTAATGCATGGATCAGTTAAGATGTTGAAACCATCAAGTTGAATCAAGACAGTTGCATGACCAAGCCATGTGACTTGAATCTTGTCAGGGGGAGGCAGCTCTAATGCTAATTTATCAACTGATAATACTGGAAGATTTCTCTTAAGCTCCTATTGGATGAAACAGAAACATCATTAAGTACTGTTATTTACTAATTTCTTGCAAGTTGCGTTGATTTCTTTCAGGGAAGGGAGGGAGAGGTTGAGGGTCAGCCAAATKTTTACAAATTATGCACAATAAATRTGAATTTCATTTACATATATATACCTGCTTATTTCCTATTCCTCTTTCACGCCTTTCCATAAACATCCACCTAAAAACGGATCCAAAAGAAGGTCTTTGTCCTCCCCAAGGGATGRCATATCTCCCGTTGACCTGTAGAGAGTGTGTGACATGTTCATCGACTCCTGTTAAGACCTGTTCGTATTTTKCTTTGCTCTTCGAGTCCATAATCTATTTGATCAGTGCTTGGACTCAAAGCAAACCTTCAAGACGTGGTGTATACAGAAAAAACCTTTCAATTCATTTACCAATCGGTTTATATCGATTTTCAATCAAGTTTGTACAGCACTATGTGTTGAAGTTGAGCTCTGTACTGTGAATCTATTGTCATCCATTTCAAGATAAATTCTAAATAATAATAAATGTTTCTCGAGTAAAATGCATAAGATTATAAAGGTGTATTCAATACGGCCACAAAGGATTCTTGAATCATTTAAATTTGTGGTCACAAAGCTGCTCCTTGAGTGACACATTCGAAGAACATTCGTTTCATGTAGGCAAGAACAATCGCARTCATCATGTGACCACARTCAGCAAATCGASCGATAAATAATTTAACACACCATTACCTCGCCCACWATTAACARTGAAAGAGCCTWAAATCACTGAAACATCAGCCATTATTTTGGTTTGGTTTAAAAACAAGATAAAGATAACAAGATTTTATCAGTCTGTTTTGAATAAAAACTACTTATATATTCAAATTTTCCCCTGGGGGTGAGGGTATAGTATGGAAAAAGACGGATGTGTTCGACGTTTTTCTCAAATATCGCCATTTTAATGCCTTTCCTTCTTGGAAATCTTTTTATGTCTTTCTTATTCTTATCAAGAACATTTTAATTTATTTTTCACTTATTCATTTTTTTCAGTTTCGTAGTTTTTACAGTTATTTCAATTTGTACGATGGGAGGGGAGGGTAACGCGCACGATTGCCAGAACTCACCTCTGTCACGAGCGGTCAAGTGCTGCAATCAATTTCACAAGATGTGGATGAACAATTTGCTCCGTCTTTGCACATTTTATAACATCTTAGTATTAACTCGAAGTATAACGTTTGATATTAATCGTCAAAACAAAGATATAATCCCAAACGATTTTACGCTATCAAACGGAGCGTGGATCAAGACGACATGTCGCAACTCGTGCGGTGCGCGGTATTTCAATACAGATAATCAAGACGGCAATTGTGGATGTACCTGTAGTTATAACTACTCAACATTTCGTATGGGAGCCACTGCTAGGTCATCGTCGTGTGTTAAGAATGAAGACATTCGTAAAGATTCAGGTAAACATTGGTTATACTTCATGTTTTCTTCAGTAGCTCCGAAGGCGTAATTTAATACATTACTTTATACAAGCCCCATTAGGGTTGTCTTTGCTTGATATATTTCAAGAATTGCTCTTTAGATGAATTGTTGTTTTTTAAAGAACGTCAACACCTCTTCACATCGACCACCTCTCATGTCGACCACTTCTCATGTCGACCACTTCTACACCATGCATGACCACCACAACACATCAACCACTTTTACATATTGACTACTATTTAACAACCACCTCTAGCCGTTATTGGCCACCTCACATAACATCTAAAAAAGGTTGATTTGCATGATGCAACTTGATTTGCAAGAGATGTATACCATGTACAACAATGGCTTTATGACCATTGACCACCTATATGACTTGTGCCCGGGGGGATTGGGGGGGGAGGTACTCAACCCCGTTTTGGATAGGTACGTGCCGCTAGCGGTCTAAATCCCTGACCCTGTTTAAGACACTAAAACATAAAATCAATACCCTGTTCAAGGCAAATCGGAAAAATAAGGAATAGCTATCTACGCTGCAACCATCAAAACTGGAATTTATAATGACATCTATCAAAGACAATAAGAAGTTTTTTATAACACGTTAATCCTGGGACAGTGAAACGGTATTTCTACTATTTCTACGGTGCTTTTTACTAAAATATTACCCTGTCCAAGACACACACAAAAATTATATCGGCCTTTTATCTAAATTGTAGAGCCTGTTTAAGACAATTTCGGGTGAAATGTATACCCTGTTTAAGACAGCAAGGCCAAAAACCATACCCTGGCCAGCGGCACGTCCCCGTATAGCAAATATATGGGAGTACCCCCCCGGGGACTTGTGTCAAGCTTTTGGACTGAAGCTCATGATCCTCAAGCAAGAATTGGCCTTAAATTGAACATTTGCAAGTGGCTATGCAAAGTACTTAACATGACTACTTACAGTAATTTTTTTCAATTCATCTTGATGTATAAGGTTGTGACAT